TTTATAAGGAGGGTGATTAAAGAAAGTCTAAGCAATGAAGGAAGGAACAAAAGATTTGCTACTGCTATGAGGACTAGCAGCCCACTCTTCCCATTTTTCCAGATAAACCATTGGCTTAGGAATTGTACAGTATAATAATAAACTAAAGTGGTATTTAATCCCCATTCTTATTTATGGCTTATTGCCAGAGTTTAGTCATAATGTAGATACAGAAAAACATATGTTGGATATTTAATAAATGGCAGACTCTCTATTGAATAAACCTGATTAGAACCATGACCTTGTATTTCAACAAAATGAATAATAATTCAACTTTGTGGTTATTAAAACCCTAGACATAGTTTTTGTCTCCATGAAAGTTTATAAAAGAAATTAAGGTAAAACTTAAAGCCAGTATGACTTCATTTAAAATAATATTTGACTTCAAGCATATACCAAATATGACTTATTGTCATATTTGGCCAAATGTCTTATTATTCTTTAAAAATGCATTAGACATCCAAATATGGTTTGTCCCCAACTCCTTTGCCCCCAGTTTCTTGCTTTCCATGTGAAGATTTTTCTGTATAGTACTTTGCATTATTAGGAAGAAGATAAAGCCTGTGCCACAGAAAATGCATTTTTATTTTACTGGCTCATGAAAAAGAATTTATTTTTTAAAACTCACTATTTCTTTCTTATTTCTATCCTTACCCAGGACAGTAGCTTAATAGGTTTCTTGAAATTGCAGGAAGACTTAGGAGTTAACATCGTCTTACCATTAAATCATGCCTCTATTCCTTGATGCTTTCTCCAAGAATGATGGCAGATGCTTTTGAAGTTCTGGTGTATTTGACAGAAAGCAAAATCTCAGTATTGAAAAGTTTTGAAATTTTTTTTTGTTAATATAATGTGTTATACTCCACTGTGGAACTTTTGAGTCACTCTTGGCTAGTGGAGTAGCAACAAAAAAAAGTCCTTTAAAGTCTAGTATATATTTGGTAAAAGTAAGAAAAGTTTGTTTTAGGACCTACTGCTTTTTTTTTTTTTTTTTTTTTTTTTTTGAGTCATGGTCTCCCACTGTCACCCAGGCTGGAGTGCAGTGGTATAATCATAACTCACCGCAGCTTTGACCTCCCAGGCTCAAGTGATCCTCCCGCCTCAGCCTCCAGAGTAGATGAGACTACAGGAATGTGCCACCGCACCTGGTTAATTTTTTAATTTTTTGTACAGACAAGGTCTTTCTTTGTTGCCTAGGCTGGTCCTGAACGTCTGGCCTCAAGCAATCTCCCATCTCAGTCTCCCAAAGTGCTAGGATTACAGGCATAAGCCACACCTGGCCTCCCCCCACCCCCTGTTTTTTTTAACTGAATTATGAGATTATGAATTTGTCAGCTAGATATGAATGTATTTTCTCTTTCTCTGTCTCTCTTTTTCATTTCCCATTATTGGCTATTACAGTTGAGTATCCCTTATCCAAAATGCTTGGGACCAGCAGTGTTTCAGATTTTTTTGGATTTTGGAATATTTGCATATACATAGTGAGATATCTTGGGGATAGGACACAATTATAACTGAAATTCACTTATATTTCATACATATTTTATATATATGAAATATATATAAGATGGCCTATTTATTTTTTAAAACTCACTATTTCTTTCTTATTTCTATCCTTACCCAGGACAGTAGCTTAATAGGTTTCTTGAAATTGCAGGAAGACTTAGGAGTTAACATCATCTTACCATTAAATCATGCCTCTATTCCTTGATGCTTTCTCCAAGAATGATGGCAGATGCTTTTGAAGTTCTGGTGTATTTGACAGAAAGCAAAATCTCAGTATTGAAAAGTTTTGAAATTTTTTTTTGTTAATATAATGTGTTATACTCCACTGTGGAACTTTTGAGTCACTCTTGGCTAGTGGAGTAGCAACAAAAAAAAGTCCTTTAAAGTCTAGTATATATTTGGTAAAAGTAAGAAAAGTTTGTTTTAGGACCTACTGCTTTTTTTTTTTTTTTTTTTTTTTTTTTTTGAGTCATGGTCTCCCACTGTCACCCCTGTCTCTTATACACATCTAGATGTGTATAAGAGACAGCTCCAGTACTTAGGGTCGGCCTCCCAGTTGGCTGTAGGAATGAGTGCGATTTGGGAGAGGTAGCAGGGAAAGGAGAGGGGATAGTATGTGCATGGTATAGTTGTGCAGGTTGATCAACATGGAGTTGAAAGTTGCTGTTAAAAGTAGATAAAAGGGGTGGGTATGATGAAACTAGATAAAGAATGGCCTTGAAAGCCAGATAGGTTGAGAGTCGACAGGCAGCTATTGAGTTTTTTGGGGAGGTGTGGTTTGGTGTCAGAGAGATTTAAGAAAGCCCCTGTAGTTAGTGAGGCCAGCTTCTGCTCATGCCCAAGCCTGTCCTTTGCTGTCTTTGCTCAGACCCCAGAGACTCTATGTGTCCTCCTTCCCTCCTCAGTGCATCCCTTTGGTTTTTCTCCCCGTGTATATCCCCAGACTCATATTTTCTCTTTCAGCAGCCAGCCTTGAATCAGACATTCAGGTTCTTCCTCATATTTAGTCATCCCCCCGCTTATCCTTCCAAGGCCTCTAGTGAATGCATGAAACCAAAGATAGTACATAACCCTATACGTACTGTGTTTTTTCCTACACATACATACCTATAATGAAGTTTAAATTATAAATTAGGCACAGTAAGAGATTAACAGCAACAATAATAAAATAGAAGAGTTATAACAACATGCCTTCTGTATGCCAAACCCCATGACATGCAGCTTACCTATGTAACAAACCTGCACATGTACCCCTGAACCTAAAATAAAAGTAAAAAGTAAATAAATAACGGTATGCCAGCATCATGACTCTTGTGCTTTGGGACCATTATTAAGTAAAATAAGGATGACTTGAATAGGCCCTGAGATACTATGACAGTCGATCTGGTAGCCCACATGGCTATTAAGTGACAGCATAGAGATACTAGAAAAAGGGATTATCCCAGGTGAGATAGGGTGGGACAGCACAAGATTTTACCATGTGGTAAAGAACAGCATGCAATTTAAAACTTATGAATTGTTTATTTCTGAAATTTTCCACTTAATGTTTTCAGACTGTGGTTGGCCAGGGGTAACTGAAACTGTGGAATGTGAAACCATGGGTATGGGAGGGCTACTATACAATTCCATACAACTTATTATTTCTCCAGCTTACTGTAGTCACAAGCAGGTTTGTCTCCACCACTTCACATATAGCCTATCAAGGGCCTCAGTGACTTCACAGGACTGAATCGGTGGTCTGTTCTCATCTGACTTGAGTCTAAGCAACATTGGGCATGGCTCACCACTTCTCTCTTGAAACACATTCTTCCCTATGGCTGCAGGATAACATGCTGTCCTTGAGGAGAGCATACTGACTTCCTTTTCCTCCTACCTCCCTGGCCAGGTCTCCTTTTCTGGCTTCCCTCCTGCTTGACTTCTCAACTTCAGCACTCCCTGGGTTCATTCCTGGCACCTTTTTTTCCCTCTGGCTGCATCCTCTCAAGTGGTGTCATATGATTCATCACCTGAAATTCTGTCTAACATTGACCAACTCTAAAGATTCATTAGCAACTTTGTCCTAGCCCATGAGCAGAAGGTTAGTATCTGGCACTCTACTGGATCTTTCCATTTGGATATTTGATGGGCACTTCAAAGTTAACGTCCAAAATGCACCTCTTGCTTTTACCACAAACCTGTTTTCCTTTTGGTCCTCCCCTCCACAGTAAATGGCACCACTTCTCACAGGCTACTTAAGCTAAAGCCTAGACATTGACCTTCATTCTTTTCTTTCACTTAGCTTCCAAATCCCAACTCCAGCTATCAACAATTCTTTTCGGCTGTTTCTCCAAAATACATCCCAAATGTGACGGTTTCCCTCGTCTCCACTGTGACCTCCCCAGCCTAAGCCTCCCATGTGGGAAAGTCTCCTTGCATCTGCTGCAACCTCCCCTCAGTGCTTCTGTGTCCTGCACTCTGTGTCTACACAGCAGCAGCCAGTGTGGCCTGTTGAAAACCTAAATCACTTCATGTCATGTCTGTGCTCAACCAAAGGGGCAGTGAGAGAAGCACGTTAGTACTGAGAGGAGGTGCTCCATTGGCTTCACTGAGACGCAGGAGGAGGTTTTCCATGGGCCACCTTCTTGGTCCTTTCAGCCTTGTATGCGAACATGAGAAAATAACAGCCTGTGAGATACGACTTCATCATATAATTAAAGTGTAAATAAAGTGTAATCTGTGCACTGAAGGGGAAGTATTAATTTTGATGAGTGGCATCAGGCAGGGCTTCATAAAGAAGATAACATTTTTGCTGGGCCTTGAGGGGTGAGTAGATTTTCAGCGTGGCTCATTGTATGGGAGAGAGTAGAAGGCTCTGGGGTGGCAGGGAGCTTGGCCTGAAGAGGCACACTGAGTGTCTTAGGTGATGCCTCTTTCAGAGAATGGCAGGGGTTTTGGAGCAGGGCCCGATGAGTAGATAGGATAGGATAGGAGTGGGTAATGAAGCTGAAAACGTAGATTACACTTATTTTGAAGGACTTCAGATGCTGGGTTGAGTGTAGAGTTGGAGTGATGTGGAACTGGCTTTAGGACATTGTATCAAAATGAATTTTTCAGTGGTCAGAAAATCCACTGAAGGTATTCTTCTGTCTTCTACCTGATAGTAGTAAGGAAATACTCACGATTGTTAGTGAGATACCGCTTTGAAGGCTCTGGATGCTTTAAGTCTGGTTCCCAGGGGAAGGAAGCCCCCTGGTAGAAAGCCTGACCCACGTGGTGTGAAGGAATGCACCCCTCCTTCCCATTAGGCAGGTGCCAGGTGCCTCTGGGCTAAGATGGTGGTCTGTGCTCTTAATTATGAGGAATAGGGAAGGTGGTTTGATTACTAAAGGAGCTAACCCTCATGTGTTCTTTTCTTGCGGGGGTGGGGGGGAGTGTTAGTATGCTATATTAAGTAATCTTCTTAATTCCCATTGTAGGATTAACCACAATGAGCGGTTGGAATTCCTGGGTGATGCTGTTGTTGAATTTCTGACCAGGTAATTAGGCTTTTTTGTTTTTTACAGTTCCTCAATAATTACATTTTATAGGTAACATACTTATTACATTGCTTTCTTTGTAATTAGCCAAATAAGGCATTGATACACCATGTATTTTATCTGTTTTGTAGAGCTCAAAAGCCACATGTCTGTGGCTCTTGCCCTGACAACTCGCACTCACTGATGCTGTAATGAGTGAGATTACAAGATGAAAGGCTGGTGTCTCTGTCCTGTCAAGTATATGTTAAAGTTGCTTACAGCCACAAGAGATCAGCTTGTCTTGGTCTAGATGCTTCAGAGCTTATATTCAATTTGTAAAGAAAGGGATGATATTTTAAAATGTCATTTCAACTTCTAGGATTTGTCTTTGATCCCTTTCTTACTCTTTCTGATCTCAAGGGAAGTAAAGCTTACAAGTAATTTTAATGACCAGATTTTTTTTTGTGTGTGTGTGTGTGTGTGTGTGTGCGTGTGTGTGTGTCTGTTTCTCTCCAGAAGTGTTTTAGGATCCTTAATTTGGGGGTAGGACACCAGGCACGCTGACTCACGCCTGTAATCGCAGCACTTTGGGAGGCCAAGGCGGGTGGATCACCTGAGGTCAGGAGTTCAAAACCAGCCTGGCCAACATGACGAAACCCCATCTCTACTAAAAATACAAAAATTAGCCAGGTGTGGTGGTGCGTGCCTGTAGTCCCAGCTACCTGGGAGGCTGAGGCAGGAGAATCGCTTGAACCTGAGAGGTGAAGGTTGCATTGAGCTGAGATTGTGCCACAACACTTTAGCCTGGGTTACAGAGTGAGACTCTGTCTCAAAAAAAAAGAAACGAAATAGGGGCAGGAAAGTGTGTGTTGTTTTTCTATACTGACACAGTTTCTCTTTTAAAGGGAGACAATACGTGCTTCTCTTGGAACTCTCTTGAGCTGTTTTTTTTCTCTTTAGGTTATTTCTTTTCACAAGATGGACATAATCAGGAGAAGGGACTCCTCTCTCCAGGGGCCACACATAGCCCAAGGAAAAGCATTTGTTTCACTCCCAAGTTTTAGTATTAAATGTGTTTACTCCTAGAGTGTGTAATTGATTATTCTGCTCTTTGTTGTCATCAGAGAACAGATTTCAGAGAAACCTTTTAACAGAAATAAATGTGAAAATATGAGTGAATGGTGCCTTCTAGGTTTAAGCACATTCAAATATATTGTTCTTACCATTTAACTTTCAAAGACTTTAATCAGATCCTTTAGTTTGATTCAGCTGATGTCCATTGCACAGATACTGTGTGCCAGCCCTGTTTCTGTGACTCAGAGCCACAGACAGAATGTTGTGATGCGTATTTATTCATGTACTTCCTTTTTTTTTTTTTTTGTAGTGTCCATTTGTACTATTTGTTTCCTAGTCTGGAAGAAGGAGGATTAGCAACCTATCGAACTGCCATTGTTCAGAATCAGCACCTTGCCATGCTAGCAAAGGTACAGAAAACATCTGCAGCATTTGTAGTTATGTCTGACATGCTCTTCTGCGGCCCATGCATAATTTTGCATTTGAATAAGTAACTCTTTAGGATATATTAGGGGTGTTAATATTTTACAGACCAGGAAGTATTTTTTGTTGGGTTTTAAGGATCCAGTCTTACTAGTTTTGTTACCTTAGTGAGTTTCACCAGCAGCTAATGAACTCCACAGTGAGGTAACTTGAGAACAGATGAAGAAAAATTTGACAGATGTGCATGAACTGAGTTAAACATTTGAGGAAAAGGAACATGGGAACAAAGCAAAAGAAATGAAATATGCTGTATTTTCCCTTTGTGTAATATTTCTGTAGTACATTTGTTTCTAATTTACGTTAACAAGCCGAATGATAGTTTTGAACAGAAGATTACAGACCATTTTTTATCCACTAGGGGTACTTTCTACACCTTTGAGAATCCCCCAAATCACAAATCCTATTAAGATTTAGGGCTTAGGCTGTTCCCCTAGCCTCATTGACTTAGCTCAGTAACTAACAGAACCTTTTTATAATTCAGATAAACGTGATCTGATTTGATGTTTCCATCTCCATATGATGTCTTATTAGAATAAATCATAGCTGATAAGCACATGGACACTTGCACTGACTCATCAGGGTTCCAGTCCACACTCCTTCTCTTACAAACAGGTGGCTATGGACAAATTGACAAATTGTTGTTCTCTTCTCCAAGCCTCTGCTTTCTCATCTGTAAAATGGAAATGACATTAGCCCTTGGCATACAGCCTGGTTGTGAGAATTAAATGAGATTATGAGCTTTAATGACATCATTTATAAAGTGCTAGGCATAATACTTGTTTATAGTAATTACACAAAGATGTTAATAATTTTGTAGGGGCTGTTTTTATTGATGCTACCCATGTTCTTGTGATAAATCCTTACATTTTTATAGACCTTTGGGTTTATTTAATAGTAGGTAGAGTGGTGGCTCTTAAATCCCCAAACACTGAGGAGCCACTGGAAAAACTTCTGTGGGTTTTGCCTAATTTGTGTCTTTTCTTCATTTTGATATAAAAGTTTGATTTTGATAGAAAGAGTAAAGTTCATTCTAGGTTTATGACTGGTTTCTTAATTTGATCTTGCCAAGGCATTAATTATATTCAAAATGTGGTTAATTTTAGCTTATGTGTTAGCAATAACACAGTTTTATTTTATGTGATAACATCATCATTGTAGCTACAGTGGTAGGCTTGGAACTGGTTTTCGTGGCATTTGAGAAAGTAAATACTGATGTCTTAATGAAAACCTGTAAGCAACCAGGTAAGCTAACTTGGTTTTGGCAGGCTCACAGTGAATGAAATTTCACAACTCTATGTAAAACTGCTTAAGTGATTGGTTGATTTAATTGTCACAATGCTTCCTGATCATTCACGTAAATGCCACTGGAAATACATATTAATAAGTAGGTTGTCACTCCTTTCCTTATTGTTTTTAGTTTAGGATGTAATGGAATGGCATAATTATTTTTCAAACACTTATAGGGAGAATATTTACGAAGTGTAGGGAATTGCTGTAGCACGAAACAGAAGCTATTATATAACCCATTGGGTGCTGTAGAAAGCCATGACTAATGACAGAGGTGGCTAGTTTCTCCCTTCAGGGGTTTCTATGTGGTCTTCTTCCACCAAGCCCAAGACTTGCCATTCCCATAGTACTCAACACCCATTGGCTGCAGCAGAAGCCTGTGGCAGTCCCACCTTTCTTCTGTCTAGACTAGTAGTCCTTATCCATTTGGGAGGGGAGGGAATTGATGGAGAATTGTTGACCCCCTTTGAGAATCTAATGAAAGCTCTAGGTCACCTTCCAGACTAATGAACATTTTAACACATAAACAGTAGTATACCACTCTAGTCTTTTTAAAAGTTGTACTGATGCCAGGCGCGGTGGCTCACGCCTGTAATCCCAGCACTTTGGGAGGCCGAGGCAGGCGGATCACGAGGTCGGGAGATCGAGACCATCCTGGCCAACATGGTGAAACCTTGTCCCTGCTGAAAAATACAAAAAAATTAGCCGGGCGTGGTGGCAGGCGTCTGTAGTCCCAGCTACTCCCAGCTACTCCGGAGGCTGAGGTAGAATGGCGTGAACCCTGGAGGTGGAGCTTGCATTGAGCCTAGATCGTGCCATTGCACTCCAGCCTGGGCGACAGAGCAAGACTTTGCCTCAAAAAAAAAAAAAAAAAAGTTGTACTAATGCCTACATGGAAAAATAAGGATATAGAGTAGAGACTAGAAGAAGTCAGGAAATTCACATCACAGCACTCCAGAATACAGTAGATGTTTATAAGATAAAATATGGCTTGCAGTCTGCTCGCAAGCAGGGCTCCAGAGATAGCAAACAATTAGATTTTCCCAGTGAAGTTGTGAAACAGATGAAATTTACATATTCTAGTATAAACTCTTGCACTTTGGGATCAATTTTTAAAAAGATATTTTCTGCTATTGCATTTGTGGTAGTCAAAACTCATTTGAGTATATTTTATAATCACGGATTTCAAACAGTACAAAATACTACAGCATATATGTCTTATTTTTATTGTCTTTGTCTTTTTCCATTATGAGTAAATATGGATATTTAAGATACATACTGAGACACACAAAATCTATGTCTTTTGTCTGAGGACTGCTGGAACTCATATTGTCCTAGGCTGTTCATTGACTTGTGAGTTGTTCCATGTTATGTGGCATGTTATTGCTTAGTATTTATTGAATTGAATTACATGGTAAAGGAAATGGATTTATTGCATATTTATGCAATGTTTGTCTCTTTTTTATGGAAAGAATTATGATTTCCATTTATTCAATCTCAGGAGTTGTATAAAAAATATTCTTTCACGTCGTGTCTAATTCTAAAAGGCTGGAATTGATTTGTATGTTGTAATGCCATGGGATAAGAAATAAGCAGCCACAGAGATCAAAGTAAAGGAAAATTATGAGTAAGATAGTGAAATGAATCCAGAGGTAAAGTTAGTACACACTGACATATTCATCAGTCCTACACCTAGAACTGGGCTACAAATTTGGCTCTAAACTCTTTTGAGGCCAAATCAGAAAAGGAAACACAAAGCACTACGAGTGCTATTTTCAAAGCCCTTAAGATCAATCCAATTCATTACTCAGAAGGTCTCACTGAACCCACAGAGAGATGAGTATGGAAACCTCATAAGGGGGACACAAGTGCAGAGATATCGGGGTCCCCAAATCCTCACAAAAAATAAAAATAAAAATAAAGATTTAGAAGTGTAAGGCATTTTGAAGTCTTCTGAGGATCCTCACTCTACCGCATAAAAATCTATTTTGGGCCAGGTGTGGTGGCTCACGCCTGTAATCCTAGCCGTTTGCGAGGCTGAGGTGACTGCATCACCTGAGGTCAGGAGTTTGAGACCAGCCTGGCAAACATGGTGAAACCCTGTCTCTACTAAAAATACAAAAATTAGCTGGGCGTGGTGGCGGGTGCCTGTAGTCCCATTTACTCGAGAGGGTGAGGCAGGAGAATCTCTTGAACCCGGGAGGTGGAGGTTGCAGTGAGCCAAGATCATACCACTGCACGCCAGCCTGGGCGACAGAGCCAGATTCCATCTCCAAAAAAAAAAAAAAAAATCTGTTTTTTATGGTGCTGACATTGTCAGTACCACATGACTTGAGTCAAAGATGTAAAACTGACTTTCAGAAGTTTGTGTTAGGTTTGTAATTCTCTCCATAGGCATATTGGATGAACCCAGGGGATTATGGTCTCATAGCAGAGTCTTATTCCAGCCTGGGCTAGTGCTTGGTCTGAACTTGGAATTGGAAAGTTCAGATCTGATCAATTATGAATCCTGCTTGAACTATTGGAGGTTGTAGAAGCCTGTTTGGGAAAGAATTGAGTTGGCGAAAACTGAGTTGTATTTATAAGACTTCTAATGCATGTTAAACTAAACTGTCTCTTAATATACTCATATGGATTTGTAACCATTCCCCTGCCCCCATCTCGTTTCCACACCAACCCTCTGCAAGAGATGGGGAGTTCCTATAGTTAAGATTGTGGCAAACTTTCTTACATTTTGTCATTGTGAATTTTGTAGAAACTTGAACTGGATCGATTTATGCTGTATGCTCACGGGCCTGACCTTTGTAGAGAATCGGACCTTCGACATGCAATGGCCAATTGTTTTGAAGCATTAATAGGTAATTTCTGTCTTCGTAGTCTACTTTCTTGCATGTCTAAACAGTCTGGAGAGCACATAAAATTTTGTGTGGAAACTTGGGACAGAATTATTTGTTCCCAAAGTACAGGACGTTCCTAGTATGACACCTACCACCTTATAGTTATTTCAGTTCCTTCAGAGCAGTGAACATGGCTCTTTTTTTTTTTTTTTTTTTCCATTCTTACTGCCTGAATTGGTGTCTTGATGTCATGTAGATGCTTAGCATTTCATGAATTGAAATGAGGTGAATTAATATGGAGATGGATAACTTTCCAGATTTGAGTCAGGATCACATACATAAATGAACAGATTAGGTTGCTGAGAGACTCCATTGTTGCTTTTGATTAAACTATTTGTAATATTTCTGTTTTAAACATCTTGAAAACACCACATTTTTAAAACCCTACCCAGGGTTTGAGTCTGTATAACTGTTATTGATTCACTTGAAGCAAGACTGATGTTGACATTTCACTCCTCACTCAGGCACTTTACTTCCTTGGCTTCTTTTTGACTGTAACCAGAATTAGCCATTGGTACAGGAAAGTTATGAAGAATTAATTAGCTGGTG